ATCTCTACTATTTAGTATATTGACAAGGTATAAATATGATAAAAAACTTTCAATTTCAAAAATTTTCATGGAGTTTACGTGTTGTTGTGTTTTTATGCACACATCGGTCTATGAGTGCATAAAATCTGCAGTCAACTGATAACATACACCGACATTCCTGATACTCATGGGAACATTGTCAGAAATCCTTTTATGTAGAAATTCTTTGAACTCCTATGTCACGTTTATTTTAACTATTTGTGGAACAAATTGTTTGAGAAATTTTACAAATTTTGTTACTTTCACTTTTTATCAAGAACTTTTTGATTACTGACTCAGTAACTTCCCAATATGCTTAATTATAAGTCGAACATTGAACATCCAACAAAATACGATTCGATGATATCTAAAAATAAGGTATGATGTGATATATCGTGTTTAAATTATTGCCGAAACTAGCGATTGAAGTAGTTGAAAACAAAGGTGGCTCTACTCATTATTAATCACAACATACCTAACACGTAAGTTCCTTTTTAACTCAAATATATGTTTACATTTTGCAATTGTGCTATTATTTCACTTTCGACATTTGTCTTTTTACTTGGCCTACCATGAGAGCAAGAAAAAATAGTTCATTCGTGTCGTCGTACTTATGTAATATTCACTACAGTTATCTAAAAGATATTTGAAAAGACAGTACACATGTTACAATCATTTTGTCTGAAACTCTTTTGATATTGTTGCAGCCCAACGCAGGTAATCGAGAACATGACGATACCTCTTCGATACTTCAGAACCACCCAAGGGGTTATAAACTAGGGTTCATGGATCTCTACACTTCTTATGCAACCAAATTTTATATTTATTTTGAAGCAGCCACGTCAGGAATGTTATAATAATATATTTAACTTAAAAATAGAGAGTTTCTATTTCACCACTGTCCTTTTATTATTTTTATTTTTTCACCATCATCAACATTCATCCACCACGTATACAGGGTTTCTCACCTAACTTGAGCATCTTAAATATCTCGCCCATTTTTTATGATAGTAAGAAATATTAGAGGAAAGAATCATTTAGTTCACGTAACATGGTTTATGTTGCGCAAGATAAGATTGGGGTGAATTAATACAGTAAAATCATGTGAAGATATAAACATTTAATGTTTTATAAATATTACATTTTTTGTTGGATTTTCACATTTTTATATACTGAAAGCTATCATACGCAATATTTTGCAATTCTTTAGAAAATATTATTTTAGTAGAAACATTTTAAAAGTATTTTATTTTACTACTTCGAAAATTTACTAAAAAAAATAAGCATACGAGTTTTCATAAATATTTGTAGAATTAAACGAATTAGAGGAATAACTTATTTAAATTGAAATAAAAATATGAAATTATTAGATTAAAATAAAATAGAGACGAAGGAAATATTTACAAATAAATTATGAATGGATAAATAGAGAAATTATAAGCTTTACTTTCTCGCAGTCTAAAAAATAACAAATTACAGTGTGGTTTCTTTCGAAAGTGAAATGTTAGATACTTTTATTACAACACTTCGGAAGCGTTTGTATACCCGTATAAAAAGTGAAAATAAAATATGTTAATTGTAAAGAAATAAATAATTTTGTTTCTTCTTGAGCATGTATTCTTCTTCGCGTCTTTTTTGTCAATATTAAAAAAAATGTGTACCTTTGAATTCGGTTATTAATCAATATATTGTGGCAAATCATTTTGTTCTTCTACTAAGACCTTTAGAGCATGTTCTATGGTATTCGGTAAATGATCCCATAGCATCCGTGGCATTACCAATATATCTTGAAATTCGTCCGCTTCAGCCCACCTCATTTCATATTTTCTCTCTTTCCTACTTTCCTTTTTTCTAGAAGAAAAGAAAACATTGCATCATTTCAGGATCGAAAGTTTATAACTTGGTAGTTAGTTGATTAGAGTTTTGTAGACTGATTTTAAAAAATATGTATGATTTTTTGTCAAAATTTATTGTTAGTTAATTTGTGGAAACAAAAGTGAAGTAACAATATTTTTTTCACTAAATATCTAAGGTCAATATAAAGTGGAAATTAAACAAATCTTTACTAAAATTTGTATTCTTTGCCTTACTCAGACACATGTGCTGTGAGTGCATAAAATTGAAGCACAATGCTTATGATTGATATTTACAGATCTTATCAATCTCTGAAGATGTTTAGATTGTACATCGAATATACGAATATTCGAATGAACATAAATCTTGTTATTAAATGTAAAATGAAAAAAATGATTGAAAAAATGAAGCAACGCCGAACCTTTTCTCTTCTGACTGTTTGGTTTCAGGCTTAATTTTTCTTAGGTGAAGTATCTTTCCTCCTGGATACAATCTCTGTGACACATACTTTCTTATCGTCAAGTCTCGTTCGAATTTTTTACCTTCCTACGATATAACGATCTATATGTATATATACATTTTATTTTTCGTATTTAGTTTTTTTTATTAAATATATTATTTAGATTCAGTAATGTGACTCTTATACACTAAAAGTAATAATGAACAATTAACAACTGGTTGCGTATTTACCTCCATTGTCACTTCGTTTTGTTCATTGAGCAATGGCAATTCCCCCGCCGTCTTGCTTATCACATTACACGAACACCAACTTTTGGTAAGATCCTTTTCAGGGATGCCAAAAAGCATATAGCCTAATGAATTTGAAATCACTCTGTACTGGGTAAAGAAAATGTTCTGTTAGTACTTGGCTGTGAAACTTTGTAAAGATTTTATCACTAGTAAATTAAACTGATTAAAACTTAACGTCGTGAAATTTCGAAGTTATAATGTTATTTAATTATTAATGAAACGTTAATTATGTATTTATATTTGAAAAAGGATTGCTTAATTTATAAATGAATGTTTAAAGAAACGTAGTAATAGATGATTCAAACATTAATGTAGATCTAGTGTATAAATAAAAGAAAAGTTTATATGTTTACTTTTGGTAGTGTGCAAGTTCGAATTGCCATGAGCAAAGCATTCCTCAGCTTTATTATAGAGTTAACATCAAGCCTCATAACGAAGTCATCACCAATTCCTACTGTTAGGACAAATTCCTCCGACATCTTGGCAAGTTCTCGGCTGAGATGGCCAGCTAATTAGAGAATTTGTTCTTTCTGATTAAAAAGATTCTTTAAGCCATTTAAAAATTCGTAATGGCGAAGTAATTGAAAATTATTATTTTGAGATATACACCTGGTGTAGCGAATGCAAAGACCTTTAGGTTCGGGTATTCAGGCCTTAATAAAAATGATAATAGAACTGCTATACCAGCACCCAGGCTGTGACCTGAAATTTTATTGTTGATAAATGAATAAATATTATAAGTAAATAGATACACTGAAGTACGATAGAGAATTGATGAAGTTACATTTGTATTTAAGCTTTTTTTTAAATATAAATAATAATGTTTTAACCTGCCTGTAAGTATTAAATCGTGGTTAGGATATGTGATGAATGCTTGTTCCAAAACATTATTTTTTTTTAATTGCTTAAAAATCTCCCTTGCTGCAGCTATCATGCCTTGGTGAGCCTATAAACAAAACATGTGTCAATATATTAATATTCTCAGTTATAATTGTGAGTTTTCAAATAATTATTAAAAAAAAATTAATCAAATTAAAAAAATGAAAATAATTATTTTACATTCAATATTATTCTGTACGGTCTTCTGGCACTGTTTTTTGAATTTTTTTCTTAAATGATTTTCAATACTGAAACTAAAAAGCTCATTCAGTATTGATTTCAAATAACTTCTAACGATTTAAAGATCATTACAATAACTTGAATAACATCCATAAAAACAATTAATTGATGCAATGTTGAGAACATATATTAGATACAATATGAGTTTCTAATAGTAATTTTTATTTCTTTTATAATGTTTCCGTCATATATGGCATGGTGTTATCACGATGAAAGGAATTAATCATAATATATCAAAGATGGCTAGTTTTTTATCAATATTATCAATTGCGATATTCTCTAGGGTTTGTATTAAATTATTATCTACTCCGATCATTATAACGATTGTTGACCGATGTGCAAGACGGAATCAGACGGAACTATACAGAATTTTGTGTTCTATCGTTACGTCTGACTTCATCGCATTCGATCTCGCTCCTTTCTTTGTTATTGTTGCGCACCAATAATGACCATGCTTCGAATGCTGAGGCGATCAGAGTATCGTGAGTGAAAAAGTCCCCTTGCCCCTACGCACTTTTTACTTGCTGGTCGCCGAAGCTAACGTGAGAGCTGCACTGTACTCTGCGATGAAAAAAAGACGTCGCCCAGTCTAAAAAGTCATGGAGACAAGGGGGCATTTGCATTTACGATGTTCGGTCCGCCACGGTCTTCGATGCATGGTCTTTAACCCTTTGCACTCCAGAAATTTGTCACTAGAAATATTCAATTTATTTTTACGAGATATACATGACATTTTTTAAACTAACTTAGCGAGGAATTTATTCACAGAATAAGGGGAACAATGGTGTTTGATTTCTACATTTCACGTATCAACAGATTACTCAAGACTTAATGTTAAATACAATTTTACAATTTTGATGCACCAATCGAGTGGCGACTGAGAGGCACCTTTGGAGTGCAAAGGGTTAATGACCAGCAACAAAGAACGAAAGCAATGCTGAATGCGACAAACGGGGACGTAACGATAGAGAACGAAGTTGGCAGCACTATGAATTTTATTTTTTATCGTTACATCTCACTCCGTCGCATTCAGTCTTGTTTCCGTCTTTTATTATTGTCGTACGGCCAATAACGACCATGCGTGGAAGACTGAGGCGGCCCGAACACCGCGAGTGGAAGTGTCCCTTTGCTTCCCTGAGCTTTTAGCTTGTTGGCTGGACGACGTCTTTTCTCTATCGAAGAGTACTCTTATTTGCTTCTTAAAAATTAAACTAAATAAGAGAAAACATTAATTTGACTTGAAAATCAATATATTAACATTTTCTTTGTGAAAGATAATATTGTTCAAACATTTCAAAATCTCGCTGATTAAAAAACATTAACGTATGATCTATTGTCACATCATCGAGAGCCACGTAAGATTATTCACATATTATTTTATTATTGCAATATTTACCGCCGAACCCGGTGGAACGCCTTCGCATTCAAAATTCCTGGAAGCCGCGTAAATGTCTGTGATTATATCACGTATTGATATTGTGCCTCGTATAACGATGACGATACTGTTTTTCTTATGATCTACGACGACGCAGAACGGTATCTGAAAACATTTTGTAAGAAGAGGAAATATTTCTCGAAACCATTATAGCTATAAATAAGTAACTACCAACCTCGCACAAGAAATTCTTAAATGACGCGTATAAAATATCATCTACACATATGTTTGACAATGACTTCACACCAGCTAAATAACAGTAGCAACAATTGTCGCCGCGAATCGCAGTCGGCTTTCTTCTGTAATTGAATTGTTTCAATCAATACGGGAATTCAGTTCTCATAAAATAACTTTACTTTTTTTTAATAGGCATGAAGCACCTGCTATGTAGTTTCTAGCGACCTTGTTTGATTTTCAAATGCTTAATGACGGTATCTTTAATTGTAGATCCATGTTTACACGTGTTTATTTAAATTTGTTACAATTCTTTACTGACTTCTTTGTTTTATCTATTTATTTTTTATCGTTACTTTATTTATAAAGTTTTATCTAACAACAAGCTTTAGGCGGTTAGTACAGCTATTCTGTAAAATAGAATTTTGATGTCGGAAATTCGTTACTTGATGCGGTAATTTACAATATTAATCCACTTAAATATGAACATTGAAGTAAGTACTTACACATGAAGATAATTTGAATAAATTATAGTATGTAACAAATTTTAACTTCCTTCTTTTAATATTGCAAAATTCAATAGATAATTTTTGTAAATTTTTGTGTACCGAATGCATGAAATTCAAAAAAGTGTTAGATGACAGTAAGTGCATGTAAAACTATTTAAAGAGTGTTTGACATGTTCATGTCAGCATGTAACAGTGTGTATGAGAGAATAATTTGGGCTTACAGGAAATATTTTAATTAAGATACTAAAGTGTAAGGATACTTACCGAAAGCAAGTGCAACAAGTTAAATTCTGCAAAAGATGACAACATCCTGTCCATGTGTGTTTGTAAAACACGTATAACCATCCATAACAAGCTGTCGATAATCTCAGATAGTAATAAGCACTTTGAAGGTTCATCCAGCTGGGTGTGTTAGCGAAAATTATTGACGTGTCTATAACAAGTATATCAATTACTATAATTATTTCGTATAAAGGATACACCGTTTATAAATAAATATCAAGAAAATTCTTCCTTCTTGTGTTGCTTCTTTTTAATTTACTGTATTTGAGTTGGTTGCATTTTTATTTGTCTTGGTATTTAATACTTATTACGATGCACGAGGGTAAGTAGTTTGAAAAGTTTAGTTTTTTTAATAAATATATATATTCCAGAAGTATATATATATATATATATTACCTGTTGTATACGTTAGACGAGGCAGGACATTTTGGCTACGTGATTCATGCAGACGACGCTTTTGGTATACCCTCAGTAAAATGAGTCCTGCCATTATATCCGAAGGAACCAAGTCAGTTGCGCGGCTTAGGTGATTTAGCAAGGCTAGAAGAATCGATTTTTTATTAGATTAAGTAACAAATGTATCAATAATTTTCAAATCGAAACGAAATAACATTTCTTGATCGCATTGAGAGATTGAAGAGAGAACGCTGTCAATGGCAAAGCTGGGTTAGAGATACAGAATTTTTGTGACAGTGTTAGATGGTACGAAATATGTTGTTAGTCACAGAGATAGATGTATTTAATCTCTTATAATTAGTCACAGATAAAAACGTGTTTAAATTAACAAATGCTTTGTATATTACAAAAATTAGAAAATTGATCTTATTTTTTAAAAGGCCAGAAAAATTAATTTAGTTAATTATAAACTTTGATAGGTTATTTAATAAGTTTTCAAGGATTCTTCAAGGAAGTTATTAAGGAACTTTTCAATATGGGATAGACACCAAGAAATCTATTAATAAGCTTCCACTAAATACAGTGTTAATCTAGACTTTATCCGTCACATTATGTTAAAAATAAAGAGCTCAGAATTTAACAAAAATAATCATTAAAATTATTCAAATCTGATTAAGTTCTATGGAAATAAGAACTACATATTATAGTGTGCAATGTCTAAAAACGATTTATCAAGAGGAAGAATTTGTTTCCTTTTTTTAATTCTTCATTTCTTATGTGTCTCGTTCCGGTTTATCCTTTCTCTATGCAAATTATTAGCCTATCTTAAGATTATTCAAGGTTAAACTTACATTCTATTATATTTAAATAATTTTTTTAAGGTTATTTTGCATGAATTCCAATTTGTTGACAGTGATTCATTCAAGAATTTAAGCATACATATGAACAGTTTTATTATATAAAAAGAGTATTAAGGAATGAATGAATATCTGTGTTCTCCACATGATTGTTAGATATATTATAATGAGATGGTAGAGAATATAGATTAACTTGTCGAGAAATCAGCATATTTTTGACTTTAGCAACTTCAATATTCAATGCGAGCAACTTCATTATTTATACAAGGTCTATTTTTTCAAAAAGTACGATTAATGTGATTATTGCAAAAAAAGTATGATTCTATAAATATTGTTCATTTCTTTTAAGTTTAACTATAAGAAGAATGCTAGTTTTCTATTATTTATAAATCTATTATATTATAAATGTTCCTTCACTTATAGCAGACTTCGCAATTAACTAGAATAAATTTACTTTTATGAACATAACTACCTTCTTCGGCTTTAGCGAAACAGTTAATAGTATGGTCAACTATTTGAGTGATCCGTTGATTTTCTTAGTACTAGAAGTATTAGATAAGTCAAAATAACAGAATCCTGATTTCTTAGTTTATAATTATTGAAAAGGTAACCAATGCTTCTCTAGGCAGTTACTAAACAAATTTATTCAGTAACGCGTAGACTGAGTTATGAATGGTTTAAAATTTCGACAGATGCACTGTTACAGTTTCTATAAGAAAATTAAATAAAATCAATTCGACTGCTCGGTAGTTCCACTGTTAATAGATCGAACACTATGCAAATAACTAATATCATTACCCAGTCCACCGAAGACGAGAAGTTGAACGAAAATCTTTGAAATGCTGAGACTAAGCAGGCTCAAGCGTTGTCATTTAAGGGTTAATAGCACATTGAGCCTTGCAAATGCGGAAGTTTCGTTTCGCAGAGGATTTTAGGAGCAAGATCGTTTCCAATTTCAATGCGGCAGGACTCTTTCCAAGCCAGCCGTACCTATGTCTCACCAGCAACATGTTGAAAAGTCTCTTTAGCATTCTCGTCTTTTCGTATCCACCAGAGCAATTTGAGTCTACGCAACCAATTATTGGACACCTTGCTGTATTCGGCCAGATTTTCGAGTTTCTTCTTTTCTATCGAGCCCAGAGGATCGAAGATCAACACCAGCCCAAAAATAGTGAGGCCTATGAAGATCCAGTCGAACAGCACAAGAGATTGAACGATGGCCACGGTGTAATGATCGTAACTGCATTTTATGCTGCCACCAAATATCCATATGCTTCCTAACAGGTTCCATCCTATCTCGGGTAGGATAAACAGAATCCTAGAAATGTGAAGATGTAAAATATTATTTAATGAAACATTGAAAACGAATTTAAAAAGTTTGGAAAAATTCGGAAATTTGGGAAATGTTGTTGATGATAAGGGGGTTAACCTGACAAGGAGGATGAAAAAACAATTTTTTCTCAATTTGGAAAAGTACATTTGTATAAGATTATAAGAAGTGCAAAATATTGTAAAAATTAAAGAAAGTAATGCCTGAATCGGACGCAGTATGTTTCAGACTGTATTTATCATTAAGTACAATAAAATTGCATAAACGTCATAAATTTGGAATAATTTTCTAAATTTTATAGACATCACGACTTGAGCTTCTGTGTAGAAAATTGATTGAGAACTTTGTTTAATCAGTAGATTTTAATAATACTTCTTCATCTTTTTAATTCTTCTACATTATTTTTCACTTAATTTGTAGGGCTTGTCAAATAAACAACTTCATGACGACTTTTGTCAACAATATATTAAAATGAAGGAATTATTTCAAATTTTCACATATTGTTCAGCTTTATTAATTACGTGACTTGTTCCCAGATGTTTGGTTAGAATTATACGTGATTATTGATAGTGCCAACAATCAGACAATATTTACTACTCTCTCTTCAATGGTAAGAACAGCGGTGCACTTTGAACGGAAGACCAGCTAACTGATGCTAACCGATTGTAATTTGGGTTTCACAGTGTCATAAAAGTATGATATATACATGGAAATGTTCGAAGGTAATGTTCTGAGGGTTATCATTGCATATTTTTGCACGAAAGTTGCGGAATGCACAGAGCTTTCATAGATAAATGCCGCTTTATATCACGCTGAATTACTGTTTTTGCAAGGAAGTTCAAAGTTCTCCACATTTCTTTTCATACGATTACTCATTTTTATTTTCCTTCCACAGAAGAGACGAAGAGTATTTCGGACGTAAAATCAATTTCGCGAGGAAATATAAATGAGTATTAGCACTTGATAGAACTTTTGTAGATTTATATGTATTTATAGGCTTATAGAAAGGCTAGAAGACAGCATGATACGGAAATTTTCACGAAAATTTAATTCTATATTATGTTATTTTTAACTTGTTAAAAAAATAAGCAACCAAATAAGTTGACATTTCTTTATTGTTTTGTATTTCAACATTTTAAATATTGAAATGTAAACATGAGATTTATATCATTATTTTAAAGATTATTTTAATTTTTAATAAATTGCTCTATTCAAAGATTTCCTACCATTTTTCATTGTAATCATTTATTAACAATACAACTTTTATTCTTGCATAATAATATGCAAAGATTATGGGTAGAGCAAAATCTTTCTCTCAACCTCATATTATTGTTTTTTTGTCTAGTATAAACTGTCTATAAGTGTTATAGTCTTGGACGCTCGAGTTGTTGCAATTAGCAATTTTAAATGTATCTATGTTTTATCAGCAAGTAATTAAGTCGTAAGTACTATTATGTTATGGTCTGTCTGTTATTGATTCTGCAGTAGAATTCTGATTTACTATTAGTTCTGTAACCTTCGGAAGTTTTCTCAGCTTTCTGTTACAAGACTGTTATCGCAGAGTTCGAAGAATATTATTTTTTAGTTTTACAATTACTCGACAACATGAACAGTTGCAAGAAATATTTACTGTTAGTCAGCCAATATTTAAAAAGACACGAAGACGATATTGTAAAAATATGATCCTCTTGCAAGAAGAGAATGTTGGCATAACTCATTATTACAGTAATGGCAATAACGGTATCGATGACAGCGTACATTCTAAAAACTGATAATATATAAAAATAGATAGCGTAAATGGTTCGAAGAAGCTAATTTTACAATAGTTGACAAGGAAAAAATATCTACGTTTTTGAAAAAAAAAATATAAAGGCTTTTTTGATTCTTGCTCAATAATACAAACAGTTGGAGTTCTGAGCAATGAAAAGAAGTAAATTAAAATAAAATAGTCGATTTTCATCGATCAGAAACGAAAAGCTAAATTCTTTTCGCATGCATCATTTGATATAAATAGTTCAATTTGCTGGTGATATGATGTATTAATAATCATTTTTAAATATACATGCATAATGTGTAATCTCAAATTTATATAACAAACTTACATAAATAATATGTAACATGATATTATATTTTGACATGAAAATGGCCAATTACGCGTTACAGAAATGTTCTTGTTCAATTATTTAATCGGTCAAATTGGCCAGAGCTCCGATTTAAATGCGATAGAAAGTGTCTAGACATATTTAAGATTAAAGTAAGCATACAAGTATAATGCTTCTTCATTTATTGGTTAGTGACGCAGGATGCAGGAACAGTGATGCAGTATTACGTCAGGAAACTGTGAAAGTCTAGTATTAAGTGTGTCAAAGCGTGTTCGAGCAATTATTAAAGTCGGAGGCTCGTGAACAAATATTAAACGCGCGAAAATTAATTGAAAATTGATTACCGTGTAAAATTGATAATACTTTTTATAGAAATCTTAAATATATACAAAAGAAAGTTTCAAATAAAATTTGCACTGTTTGAGAGAGAAAATTTCGGTTGTCAAAATTTATAGGTCAACAAGTTACATTTTTTCAAATTTCAGTATCTTCGAAAAATGTAAAGGTGTTTGAATTGACCAGTGATGTTGTATACAAGATAGAGAACTATATTTATATAAAATTGCTGAAGTGTACCAAAAATTATCTGATTGCATAAAAGATATATTAATACCTTCGAAGTCTTAAGAAGTATGATTTCGAGAAAGGTTTTTCTCGAAGACTTTAAACTTCTTATTTCGTTTCGTTAAGTGCAATGTCTTGTATGAGTAATGGTACATGTTTTCTTCCTATGTTCCATACGCAAACATTGAATAAATTAACACGTACATGATAATTTTATGTGAATGTGTATTGTTGTTTTCAATTGTAAAATCTCCATTAAAAAGCGCATAATTTAATAATCATCATTTAATTAAAAGTAACACTCTCATTACGTCATCTTATTATAATGCATTGAAAATCTCTATTAACAACAGACGGGTGGTTTAGGGAATTAAATACTTCAATGGTAATTTGTATGATAAGTAAAACTGACATCCCCGCAAAAAGTATTAATGTGACTATTAGAAATTCATATAAGAATTTTTTCGTTAGAAATCTCTGCCACGCAAATCAACCACGTATTCCATTTTTCAATCTCATTAAGTGCATGGGTGCAGCATCGTTGGATAAACGGGCCAATTTTCATTTAATCGTTAAAGATAACATACGGTGAAGATAAGAGTGAATATTATTCAAAATCTATTATAGGTATTACCGCAAATTTTGAACATATGTGTAACATCAATTTACAATTGAAGTATACATTTTACAAATGTTTCAATTTAAAGGAAAATTGTATTACTATCAGGATACGGAATGGTTATGACACTTTCTTCAGTCCTCATCTTTTCTTAATATCTTGAATATCGCTCATTGTAAAACGAAACTGTTGTAACTGAATAATGTCAAATAATTATGTAAGATACACGTATAAAAATTGTTCTTGTTTAAATGGTAGTTCCTGTGCAATCATAATCTAAATTCTAGTTGCTACTTCTGACTCCGACCTTCCATGTGTTTCCGTGAAGCCGTTTGCCAGATATTGTTGGTACTAATCGCGCAACGCGAATGTGCGTCACTAGACGCATCTCATCAGTTGCAACGTAAATATTGGAACAAACGACAAAAAAGGTACTTCATTCAGTCATAACTTGCTAGTCGGGCGCGATGGGAGTAGATGGTCAACATCATATAACGCATGCCATTTCATTCGAAGCTAATCGGTTATACGAGTTAATTTAACAAAACAGACTGGCGATGTTGATTATCTAATATGGAAATCTCAGCGTGTGATTTTTAAACGTTCACTCACTTTACTGTTAGGAGCGGCTGCACGTATTTGCGGGCTCGTGTATCCATGATGCTCCCTTTCGCGCTGTGCCTCACGATAATGGCCATAAAGAGTATGCTCAGGGCGAGGTAGACCAATTGTCCGAGAAAAAACACGCGTACCAATTCGCCACCTGATTGACAGCCCCATGTGTACTGATAGTATCGACCGCAAGCGACACCAATGAGAATTAACCTGTGAACAGAACCAATTGCGAAGGATTCGATTTTTATTTGGTGCCATTCAGGATGCTTTTGGAAATGATGAATTGAGGGAATCGCGTCGAAAGTGTCAGGTTTAATTTAGATAATGCATTGTTTTGTTTGTGTTGTTAATTATGTGGTTCCTGAAAACGAAATTTTAGAGGATTTAAAGAACAAACAACTTGTAGTTCTTATTCAATTATACTCTCGGTGAACATATTTCGTGCATGTAAAGTAGATAATTCGGAAGCTTTTTAATAGGACGATATGATAATGTCTGTAGTATTTGTAAAAAATAAATAACGCGATTTTTGCTACTTTATTTGATTTTAATTAGTTAATAAAAATAACAATTTTTGTTACATCGAGTTGATTCACCATAGCAAGAGTCATCAGGTTAAAAAAAATAAAATGGTCGTATAGTTGTAGTTAGCAGTTACTAAGAAAACCTTGGCCAAGATTGAAAAACAATCTTTCGGAGAAGACGTGTTTAAAATTTAACAAAGAATTATACGATGCTGATTCTGAACTTGAGAGAACAAATGCTTGAAGTATGATAATTAAAAATAAATATTTGTATTTGGTCGATGAATATGGAATATTGTAGTTGTACTAAAAAGCTTTGGAATTAAATTCAATATTATTTTAGTTTGACTCATTGATGTTACGCGATTCTGACATATAAAGAATTTAATTTGGATATTCTATATAAAAAATATATTTTTTTATGGTTTTTATTAATTTTATAATTAAAAGTGTTATATCAATAGAATGAAATAAATGTTCCACAGAATATGATATTCCTGTAATATAAATAACGAGGAAATAAATTTTCAATTTTTCAGAATTTATTGAAACTTTGAAGTAACACGTGACTATTACTATTTTCTTCAATATATTGAAAATTATCTGTCTTGCGCTTATCCTATTTATTACATTAAGTTCGCGAAGAAAACAAATATCTTTTTCTCTCCAGGAAACCTTTGTTGCATTGGCGATTTTAAAATATTGGTGTTCATAATTATTGAAATAAATTCTGTATGGTATGTTGTCTCTGTTAAATACATTGAAATATCTTTTGCCTTTCCCAAGGGTTCATTGTTATGTCGTGTGAGTGCAACAAGACATCGTTTAAATAATTCATCAGAGGTTAGCTCTTTCTAATTTGGTTCCATGATATTCAATATTTTATTGTTTAGTGGTAATTTTCCACGAGGAAAGTTACATTACTTTGTTTTTTCACAATATGTCAGTTACACTGCATGTTTTGTTTCCTTTAAACTACAATACAAAAATATTTCTAATCGTTTCGTACAAAAATGGAACTGAAAAATCAAGTTTTTCAGATTCACAAATGTTTACCAATGCTTTGAATAACTGTTCCCTTTTTGAAGCAGAAAAGAAATGTACTAAAACGGCGAGGAAGTATTTAAAATTAAATTAAACGTGTAACTATCGAAATGGAAGGACACTAAATTAATTTCTACATCATTATAATATAATAATTTTATTGTAATAGAATATTATTTTTATTATTCATAATAACAATAATAATATTACAATAATATAAATCATTTTATTAAAAGTCGGCAATAGTTTTCATATTACTATTGCAATAATAAAATTGCAAAATTTATAAGTAAATATCAATTCAATTTCACTTTTTAAAAATTAATTCAAAAAGATTCGCATTTGCATACAAATTCACAATTTAATATTGATGAATTTATACAGGAAAAAAGGTTCTGTATTACGATATTAAATCCATTTACATAATTGATTATTCGGGAATAGTAATTTTTATTGAAGGTCAACCCTCCGTTATCAAGGTTTTCAAAGCAATGTGAATGCTATTAGACCAATAGCTTCGTGATTTGCTGTCGAACGCAACGCCTAGAAAATTATGGTTATTGAGAATATAATCAAGGACAAAGAGGGTAAGAATTATGTTGAAAAAATGCTAATGCCATTTTGAAAGCTTCTTACGAGGAACGGAAAAATCTGTAATCCTTGCATAATTGATTGATTTATGATTTATGATTTATCGCTTTTTATAAAGCATCTGTAAAATAATATACAAGATTTCAAGCGTGTTTGAAATCTTGGAACGACATTTATGTAATTTGTGGACGCGATATTTTAAAAACTGCTTGTCGAATTTCTTTCAAACTTTCTAATTATACTCAATATATGACTTTTTCTCATAAAAATGCCTAATTAATTAGACATTTTGTAATTGAGAAAACAATGATTTTTTCCTGTTTATATACTTTTTTGTGTTATATAAAAATGTGTATCGACATAACTTCAATCATGTGCAATACAATGGCCTTCAATCTTATATAAGGTCGAGAATGAAAAAATAATTCGAATAGTTCCTACCTGTATATTCATTATGTAGTATTCATTCTATTCTATAATACTATATTTCATGTTGCATCAACTGATGATGGTTATTAACGGCCACTACAGTATTTTATTTCTTTGAAAAATTTTGATATTTTTTAGAACTTATTAGAGTAATTAGTAGTTTCTTTATATTATTTTGCTATAACATTCTATTCTAACCTTTTAATTTCTAGGAGTAGATAAAAGCAAAGACGTAAATCACTATATAACTAACAAATTCTAAATTTTTCCGGAAAATCAAAGCTTACTTTCGATGACATATGTGTGTCGATCAGTCATAATTTCATTTACGTTCGTTTCTTTTCTATTTTTTCAAATTATGCCCTGTTTTTGTTAAAAGATTTTTGTTTGCCTCTACCATAATATCCTCATGCAATAAGAGTTTGAATATTTCATTTATTGTTTAGCGTGCAGTTTCATTTGCAGCTTAATTATACAGTCATTCGTACTAGATACATATTTTTTAATGGAATAGCAGTTGTTCAAATATCTAATAATTACTGTTATTATCATGTAATGCTGTGGTATAATGGAACGAAACTGAAACGCACGCAAAAGGAAAATAGTCACTCACCACACGGTACGAACGAAAATTTCAAACAGTCCTGGATACACCAAATCATCGGTCGCGGCTAGCCATTTTCTTCCGAAAAGATTGATCGCAGGCATTTCCCTGTAACGAATATCACAATAATAAAAATTGGATATGTACTTTCCTTTCCAAAACTGGCTAAGACTTGGCAACAACACGAGACGTGTTTCGAAATGAAATAAGTATAGTATCTACGTGGTTAGCCACATTCGAAAGTAATGTTAGTAATTTTGAAATTCCTCTAAATATTATTTTTTTTATCATGAATTTATTTAAATTCATGCTGTTGATATTATTAAAATATTATCCCTAACGATTAAATTAATTATGATGATTTTTTCTACAAAAGAAACATGATTTGAGAAAGTTAACGTATCATTTTATAATAATTAGATTACAGAGAACTGTACAATACATTGAAGATATGTTAACTTAAAGTAAGATAAGCATTAAGTTTAATGTTTGCATAGATTACAAATTTTGTGAATTTGAAAAGGTTAAAAAAATGTTATTGAAAATTTCGTTACATTTTAAACTGTCTTTTAACTAACAAAAAGAACGATTTTCCAGTTCTGTAGTTTGTGGTACAGTGTTTGAAGATCGGAATGAATGTGTACGTACATCCGCAGTCTAATTACAAGTACATAATATCATCATTCTAATAATGATAATCAATTTCTTGCAGAACAATAAAAATACAACGTATTCCATTCATTGATATTGCATCCTCTATTACCATTTAATTGTATATTGGATAATTATAATTATAATACATTAATACCGTATTTGAGCGTACGTTGCGATTTTTTGTTTTCAATTACCGATACTTGACCATTGATCTCTATGTTTATTGGTCGGAATTAAGCTATTTATGACTTCTGTCTTAAAATAATTATTGACATTTCGAATGAAAAAAAATTAATGCCAATCGCTTATCCTTTAAGTATGGAAGTCTGAAAATGATCGATTAATACTAAATATTGTATTTATTTGTTTTTATTTGATTAAATATCTCTACGGAACAATAATATCAACTTATAACGAAAACTTCACTCTATGAGGCCACGCGACCGTAGTTAACAAATAAGGAGAATATTATGAATGCAAAATGAGTTTCCAATTGTAATTTTTAATTTCTGTTTTCTAATAATGCTTTTGTTATGCGTTGCGTGATGGAACAGAATTTCTTTGCAGTTCACTAACGATGACCGCTTTTCTGCTCGTACCGGCGTTCATTTTACTCCTCCGACCTTGAACCAAACGATTACTTCGATCTTTGCAACGTCTTTCTACCGATAAAAAATTAAAAGGTAGCGGAGGCTTGAAATCAATGTTGAACAAGTTTCTTCGATTCTAAAGACGAAACATGTATTCAACGAGAAATTCAAACAATGTTTAAAACAGCCAAAGAAAACAATAATTAGCATACTGATAATTAATGTATAGAATGACTTGATAGAGGTAACAGTTTAAATATATACATTATTTTCTAATATTACCATTAAGAAACATTAAATTTTGTTTGCTTGTGTATGTGTTGTACTATATAATAATATATCAATTTCAAAGTATCTTTCGATCACAGTGAAGTATAATTCAATGCAATACTACGCATTTATATATTTTAATTTATCAAAAATAATTCAACAAGACTTTATTTTTGATAAAAAATTATTTAAAACACGCAAAACATTTATTTTCAGTTTTTCTTGTTGCGTGGCCATATGAATATTAATCACAGAGTAACACAATACATCATTTGGAGCAAAGTGAAAGGCATTTAAATAACTGCTCAATGAATATATTATAAATAAATCTCATGCTCGTTACTTTAATTGTTGAAATTCATGTTTATTTAATGTGTTAAAAAATTATACGGTTTACAAAAATTCTTGCTAACCATTTTATTAATTTAGTATAAATAATCGAATGCGTTTTCCAAGTACTATTTCCTCTTTGTACAAATGTCTTTCTTAGAACAATAGTCGTTTTCAAGATCTTCATAAGACAAATAAAATAGTCCCACGATCGACGCGTGAAGAACGGTTCCCCTATTTAAGGTCATCAGTGTCTTTATACACCTGAATGATTCTGGCTCCTTTCTCTCTCTTTTTTCCCCTTATGACCGTGTATTACCATAAGATTCGAATGCCCCAGTCCCTGTTCCCATGCATGTATTTCTTTGATCGCGAACCACAGACCAGAGAAAGCGCTGAGAGAAAGTCTTTGTCTATCCTACATCTCGGAGTATGTATTGACATAACATACCGACTCACATAACTGGACCTGGCCACGTTAAAAATTTGCCTTTTGCACCGAATTCTACAATTACTTTCACGCGCGGCCATATCTTCCTGCAAAGGAGGCCTACATTCTTCGAGCAACCGCTATTAACAAGCCACGCCACTTCTCTCAAATCGTCTGTCGTTTAAATGAATCGGTTCACATTGGAAATTCAAAAAGGCGTTATGTTAATTAGATCTGCATACTGGATTGAAGCAAGAAATGTATTAAAATAAAGTACCGTACTTCAAGGTATCACCTTGTGCTACAGAAGAACGATATAACAATTAGCAAAAATTCTGTGCAGGAATTTATTATAATTTACTTTGACAGTAAAAAGGAAATAAATCTTTCCGATCCTGGCGTTACCCGCACCGTCTGTCTTGTTTGCTCGAGTGATGCAGTAATGTTCTACCGATCATCATTCCCGATCGCGTTTCTCTTTCCCCGAGAGAAATCTTCAGCGGCGCATCACACACGAACGTCGATCGATGATCTCATGGTAAGATTTTATTGTTCGCTGAGTATGAAATTTAATGCCGCGATGAGTACTCCACGCCATTGATCGACGCTCCCGCTTTCCTCCCTCGCAGAAAATGTTGTTTACATCCGGAGACGATTAAGCGTGCCTAATCAATACTAAATATGGTTCGTGATATTGCCATTGTCAGTCTCGTTATGTTATATTTCTAGCCTAGTTTGAACTTTAGATAGCCCCGCTCGCCGATGATCTTTCGTGAAACTGAAATTGCTCGCGAGAGAAATTTTCCTCCGGCCTCGACTCTCGAGTTAACGATCCCGTTTTGAAATGAAAAGTAAGTAAGAGTTGTGTACTGGAATTTATTCACGATCGTTGTCAGTAACGTACTTAAACAGCGTGTCCAGCAATTTCCCTTTGATCGAAGGATCAGTAACTATACGTGGAAGAGTTTTCAAATGTCACTGCTCTAATTGTTTATATAATGTAATCGTTCCTGACAACTCGAGGTTAGAGAGTCTGTTTGAGATTCACTCTGACAAATGCATATATTTTCGTTCGAAAATACGTCGTAATTCGTGTTACATTTTATAAACACTTTAATTCAGTAAAACACAATGAATTGTCGGTAATAATACTTACGGCAACACTCATTTTCATTGACTAGTTCACGACAAAACCAAGTTCAACGGAAATACATTTCCTCTGTCAGTTTGATTAGATGTAAACTTCAATGAGGGTCATGAAATTTCCTACAGAACCATATCACACTAATAATTACCATAAAGGCACGAAGTCCGTAGTCTAACAGGAGGCTCTTTCACGCGACTTTGAAGCGATCATTTGATACGATGCGCGTAGTAGTAAACTTATCGTGACGAAGCATCAATACGATAGAAATCACGAACCATCGTATCTTTCATTGCAACAGTGTTCTCCGCGAGTCGATTTCTACTAAAACCACCTACTCCGAAGATGTAACTCCTAGCATCTTCCAGGCAAACAAATAATCCCCGAAGAAAACTCCGTCAACCGATCACCTTTCCAAACCGAAACTGGTAGCTTTTGTGGACACCTTATTCGGCAAAGATTCTACCGAACAGAACTATACGATCGATCACCTATGTAAACCGATCAATAGTACAACCGCGAAAACAATCGAAGAACCACTGTATCACAGATCAACCTACAGGAATCCGATTCGGTGAAGACCCGAAAAACCGTACAGAAGTCCGAGCTTCAGCGAAGCCTGCTTCCCGGCATGGCATCGAACGAGCAAACGCTAGGAGTGATTTGTACCGATCGGTCCGCGCCGCTCGACTACTTACTCGAGCCCCGTGTATTTACCTAGTCGTGGACGCGTCTCGGTGTCCCGGCGGAGTTCTGAACCATTCACGAGACACCACTTTTCTGCGTGCACGGCTCCTAGCCTAGTCGCCGGACAGGATGCTTGGCCGGTAGTATTTACCGTTTCAGATATACCCGCGACGACTCACCTGGAGATACAAGATTTCCGTCTGCCTGCCGACGTCTTTCTACCTCGTCGGGATCGATGCTCGATCGACACCCGGCACCGCTGTGACCCGTGTGTTGGCCGCCGAAACGCTGAGCTGCGAGTTCTGGAGGAATGCGGCGAGCACACCTCACGGAGGCCGATTTTTTGCGAGACTCGCCGTCTAGAGAGCTCGCTCGCTTGCTCGTTCGCTCACTCGTTCGCTTGCCGATGGAGAGCTTTAGCCGTGGGCCGAGCGGACGACGCAAAATTGCATCGGTTCTTGCGGCAGCCGCGGATCCGCAGGCTGCACGTACAATGCGCTCGTGAAACCCGTTCACCTTGTTCCGCGGGCACCCCGCCGTCGAATCTTATAAGCGGCTCGCTGAGCGCCACGGAGACTGTCCAGCTCCGACGACTGAATTTTTCCTTTGGAAAACATTCTAATAACCTCCCCGTTGCAAGAAAAATCGACGACTCTCGTATTCGCGTGATGGAGATCGATTTGCGGTGACCGATCATCAGATAATCGTAAAAACGGATTACGAGGATCATTGCCGGTTAGATCGGACACCGTTCAGTCACTTTTGATAACGATCGGTCGTTTGAGGGTTGGTTTAGTTTGGGGTGGCGCAGGGTGAACGTTCTCTGCTTGATGAACGGCAGGGGATTTCTTTGTTGTAGGTGTTTGAAGATTTGAATTGATTGTTGGAAGAATGTAGGATAGGAGGTTTGTAGTTGGAGGTTTTGCGGTGTTGATTGTGGTGTGTTGGGAAGGATTCCTGGAACCTTCTTTAGGATATTCTGTTGAGGGATTGAAGTGTGTATTATTTATTTGCATCGTATATGTTATTTTAAGTAGAAATTTTTTACTAATTTGCCTTAGGCTTTAGAACTCTTATGGTGTTTGGCTGTTAATAAATTAATTTATGTTTTGTTTGTACTGTAGCTGTGGTTGGAATTGGAACTGTCTTTTTTGTGAACAACGTATGTAAATTAGGTTTGTTGTTTATGGTATAGTTTTTAAGTTGATTTGTTTAGAAAACTGAAATTTTTGACGACGTCATTCGTAAAATATGCGTTTTAAAAGACAAGTTCGTCGAATGAATAGTTTATGAGAAAAATGTGAGAAAGGTTGGCAAACATGTTTGTAAGCTGAAAGTTTCGCAAATGGCTTTAAAACAATTGGTTGAAGATTTATGGGAGTTATCTTAATTTGTTGTTCTATTAGACCTTTCTCTTTCGAAAAAAGAACTAAGAATGGTGCGACTATGTTCTTTATTTATGAAGATTTCTTCTCCTGTTAGTTTCCAGTTTTTCTGCTGACGCATTAGAAAAATTAGAATCAGCTCTCAGCGTAGACTAGTTACCCTTGAATATTCATTGCTTATATTTGTCTGTGATCTTTTTATGAAACCAAAAAATGTAAGTAATGTGTGTAAATTATTAGATGCACGACAAAAGTTTTTCGAAAGAACTACCAAAATTCTAAATAGTTCAATTAATTACCTGAATGGCCACAGTTTCTTTTAGTGAATTTAGTTTTGTTATCTCTTCGAGGAAAAAATTATTTTCTACGAAGTAAAAACTATTTCGAAATAAAACCGGGTTGACCACGTGAAAAATGTTCGAAATACAGATATAAATTTTAAGGTATGTGTAATAAAACAACTATTGATAGCCACAACGATATAAAGGACCGGTTTATGATAACTGGCCAGTTAGCACGCCATAATGTCGAATCCTTTAAATCTCTATAAGATGGACAATTTCGCGAATTACACAAGATCTTGGATATCAATTAGAGATCTTTTAATATTCATTTTATCATTTGCTATTTGTTATGCAACATGGAATGACGCAAAATAATTGTTCACGTTAACAGTTTGTAAACAGAATACGTTCTTTCACGTTCATAAAAAACACATTTATACAAAATTTCATTAAAATCAGATTTATTGGTGTCGTCCGAAAGCAAACTACCTTGTTAATAATCAATTTCGCGACAATCAACAATAGATATTGTTAAGTACGTAGTTCTCAAGGATATTTCATGAACGAAGTGTGCAATAAAGTAATATAAATAGTTAAAATAGAAATAATTAAATGGAAATAAAACTTCTATGAATATATGTTTACGTCGCATATTCAAACGAGAGTTGTACATAATATGAATGTACATCTGAATTCTTTTTTGTCTACAAAGAACAAACGCATTTTTATGTAAATTTCGTTAATGTCTAGGTATTTGTAATGATGGCATTTCAAACATAAAAAGAAGATGTATGTAAATTTGTTAAAGTATGAACTGATGTATGTGGTTAATATGTATTGAACATATTGGATTTCGTATCTATATAAAAAATTTCAAACAAATTATGTAAGAGAAAGTATATTCTACACATTTTTTAATATTTTCTATTCTGCTTTCTGTTTATATACAATTTTATTAGATTAAAGAAAAGAAACTTATTGATTAAAACTTGATTAAAGAAAAATGTATTATCGTTATTGTTTATATCAGAATAATTATTACTTCTGAGGGTTCAACTAGTTGAGTATTGACTTACATTAACTACTTAATCGGATGATATTTCAGACATCATCACTCGAGACTAATCAAATTATATAGTATGGTCAATCTTTCGCGACGATGAACGTTGATAGAGAATGACACTTTTCAAACATTTGTTGAAGTAGATTACGTTAATGTAAATAAACATTTAACAACATTCTATAATTTTCTTTACAAAGGTCCAGTGATCCAAAGCTGTATATACTCTCTGATAACAGTTATTATTAATTTTTTATATCATACAGTTTGTATTTCACAACAAGCGTTCAAAATTTCCATTGCAAACTTTACGACACTGACAAGTTCGTCATTTAAGATGATCGTTGCTCGTATAACTATTTTCAATTGAAAGCGTTAATCCACTTATGCAATAGTGCACTCGTTAAACAAGTTTTTCAATGCATCCAATCACATGCTTTTCTTTAGACAAAAACTCTTAAGTGCAACAACATTAGTATATAATCGCGATTGTATTAAAGAAATTTGTGACCAGACTGCTGACGTTTATGAAAACGTATAAGTTTGTAAAGAATAGATAACGTAATAAATGATAATGGTAATTATGTTAAAAACAAACTTATAACTAAATTAATACAAGTTACGAAAATAAATATTATTGTAGTCGATAAATGACATGATGATATATAGTTGTGATCGTTTTAAAAAGACTTACGACCAGAGTGCTGCTAATTATGAAAATTTGTGTTTTTGTAGAAGATAGATAACATAATGATATACTGCTCAGAAATTATTGTATAATGTATATCTCGTACCTATGCGCACTAACATGTAGCTGATTACATATCATTCAAAATTGTGCCACAAGATCAACGATGTTAATGTAACGTTATTTTCAATATAAATATTATCCAAAATTAGTAATATTTTGAAGGACACTTATGTTGTACGTTAATTGCAGTAATAAAATGAAGTTGAAATTAATTTATATTGTTACGTACACTGGAAATATTAAGGAGACACATCTAAATATTTCCCAAAGATTGTTAGCATACAATTTACATATACATTGCTTAAGTAACGAATATATTTTGCAAAGTTTGACAAGCTATGACATAATGAATCCTGTTATGTAATATTTCGATGCAGTTATTATTTTGTAAAATTATTCTGATGTCTCGAAGCGATATCGATTTGTTACATAATTAATTATATCCTCTAATTTACATCTTACAAAAAATCTATTACTTCATGTCTTTCCTAATCAGATCCAACAGAATACGTTACTCTGAGATAAAATTTAACCGCACTATGTGATAAAGAATATAATAATAAAGATAATAATAAGGATCACTTATAGTGCTTTGTGCTGAGCGAAAATAAATTTATTCTAAATAACATTCGTATTATAGCTGTTTCCGACAGTTTTCATACCAAAAAAGTTTGTGCCATTATGATGCGTACTTAGTTTAATTGCCACATTTAGTTCAATTGATGGTTTTCAACTGTTTGGCTCATTCTAAACTCATCTTAAATGTGTTTGAATGTTTATAATCTAATAACAGGTATATTATTTTACGTGTATTACAATTAACGTACAATACATTTTTAATCTTAAGAATCTACTTTTTTTTAAAACCAAATTTCTCGACAATTACCTGATGAAGAAAAATAGTTTTGTAACACATGAAAATTTAGATTTGAGTAAGTATTGGTTATCGCAATGTAAAATATACCTGCGTGGAACAATGTGAATTAATGTGATGCTTTGCACTTACTGGAAATTAAGGAATATAATTCTCTCTGCGCTTTGTTATCCCATTAATTAATGTGTATGTAATTATACCATTAGCCCTGCTTATAGTATACGTATTAAGAAGTAATTCGTCTCTTCTATCATTTGTCTTTCTTATTACACTGTATCTGCACAACTTGGCGAATATTTAACTTGATTACATTACATTAGCATAGCTTAATAGTGTGTGTGCACGAATGAAAATATATTCCATAATAGAGTACATTATATTCTATCGAATTATTATTGTTTTATATTGCTAATTCTGAACACAGCATTTTATCAGTATAATGTATGCATTTATTTTCACCACTTTGTTTCATTAATATGAACATTATAATAATTTATGTTTGTTCTGGTAGAATGAAATAAGATTCTTTCACTACAATTTTTTACTGATTGTTAAATATAAATAAAATATCAATTTTGTGTTGTTGATGTTAAATTTTATCTACAAAAACTCAATACAAGTGAGATTCTTCCTGAATGTTTTCTTTTAATATACACACAGATTGTAA